TTTTTTTTCTCCATAAGGATTATGGAGAGAGCTGAAGGTGTTTAAGTGCTTAACTTTCCTGTGCGCAAGTTAGGGTGAATGAAACTCACCCAAAGTCTGCGTTTGAGAGAAGGGCCTGTTTTCTCCTTATGGTAAAAAACCTAATACAATGAATTTGGAAGTGGCTACGTTTGCTGACATACAGAGAAATAGGTGTTGTCCAGAGGCAATTCATCCCACTCTAAGGGGTATCTACAGTACAATGAATAGCTCATGCCCTGGAGGTGCCTCCACCCTTCCTAGGACTAGACATGGACCCCACATACCTAACATTTAGATGTCCCCAGTTAAGTGAGATGAGTGTCTGACATTTGACCAGACCAAAATACCATGTTTACTTGACCCAGGGCTGTCAAGCAAACCCGAGACTCCATATCATTAACTGGGGCTCTGTGAGGGCTGCTTTTTATCCCCAGTCTTTGTGTCACTTTCAATATTTATCAATGAGGATTTAACAGATTCTTCTCTTTTTTACCCTGGCTCGTTGCTGGGGACGTTAAATGGGATGGGGTCAAGACCAGGCATTTAGGGTCTCCATGAGAAACAAAGCTGTTTGATGTGGAATCTCCTTTTAGGACTCCATTTGGAAAACAATTACAAACCCCATTTATTTAATGTGCACCATGTTGATTTTGGATGGCTCCACTTTATTCATCAGGATGCCAAATGCTTTTGAGGAGTTTGACCAATTTAAGATTAAGTGTGGAGGGGGACAGCTGGCCTCCCTTAGACTGATGGGCTCTGAGGGCAGAAAGGATTATCACAGCCAGGGCCTGACCTCCTGAGCAATACCAGCTATAAAATCTCATCCATTAGGCTCCTTTGAAAATCCCAACTATCAATCTTTCAGGTCCAGTCCTTTCCCTACACAGCTCCCCTGGAAGCACCACAGTTGCTCAAAAAGCCCAGTAGGATGCTGGTGGGGCCAGGGAGGGAAGGGCCCAGCCATACTCGGGTCTCTCCTACCTGTGTAGACCCAGCAGCAGACTCCTAAAAGGATTCATATTTTCCATGCTGCTAATTTTAGTCCTTTGCTTTCCAACACCCACAGACTTGGAGACACAGCCCACTGCCTCGCTGCAGCTTAAATGCTTTCTAATGGCCTCAACCCAGAGATTTACACTGAGCCAACTCACTTTGAAACCCTTCCATAAAAACGCCTTCTGCAAACAGATTTGTTTCATTATCGTTGGGCCTGAAAGTGCCTGAAGTAACAAACAACTTCAAACTCCTTCAAATTTATTGAGGCACTAGGTTTGCACTTCATTTAAATCCTGTGTACCTGGGTGCATGTCTTACGGGGGGACAGGCAGGGGGGTGGATGGAGAGCCCCGGTGCAACGTGTCAGTGATTATGGCGCAATAAATATTGGATGGAGGATCTATGATAACATCTATTACGGCTTTATGAAATATTGATAGCGTCTGAATACATATTGCCTCCTGAACAGCTCGTTCTGGAGATGTTTAATGAAAGACATCTGTCGTTTTATCCTTGAATCTACATGCAGGCAAAGTATAATTTCTACCCTCCCTGTAATCTCAGTGAGGGTTTCCAGAGCTGTAAGGAAACGGCACGAAACACGCAGGCTCACCTGTCCAGAGGGGTACAGGGAGACAGACAGAGACTCTTTTATGTACGTAGGGTCTTTCATTTTGGAAATGAATTAACTTTGTGCTCCTCTGAAATCAATCCCTGCACAGACAACTGGCTTTAACGGGACCAATAAAAGACTGTACAGGCTGCCATGACGAAACAGTGGGAGAGAGACGGGACTCCGGGAAAATCAGCTCGTCCTTCAGACTTTCATCCCCGATCGTGCACTTCTCACCATTTCACCGTGTGCGCAGTGCCGGGGCACAACACCCTTCCCCCGCGTGATCCAAACACACTAAGCCATGACACACATTCACCCCAAATGCCCAACATATTCCCAAATTAACGGCACACGGTGTTATTTTTCACCTTGTAAGGCCTCTCCAGCCATGCACGTGCATGCATGCACACAAGCACCCCATACACTTGATTACTTTTATCTTTACACCACAGAATTCACTCTCTCTTTAACACATCTGCCTGCACAAAGCCCAGCCTCCCCTGCGCAGCTCCTCCCAGCACAGGGACATCAAAGCACACCATCTCCACGCACCTTTTGCTGGCGGAGTTCTAACTCCGTTTCCCAAACGCCCCATCACACGCAGCTGTCGGAGATGCAGCTCTACGATACAGAGTGGTGACACCCCCAAAGGCCTCCCTGATGTACGGAGGTGTGAATGCAGCCCCACACACAGCGTTCTGCTGCCACTTGCACACTGTGCCATCTCATCCATTCTCCTCTTGGCTCATCCTTCAAGCTGGACAGCTCAATTTGGGGGAAAAAAAATAAAAAAGTTGTTTTCCTTCCACAACCCTCTTCTGACTCTCCTGAGGAAAGAAAGATTTCTCTGGCTGTTCTACAGCATCTTCATGAAAGACAGGCAAGCCCTGTATGAAGATATTTCCTGAAATCCTGTCCCAGGGACAAAATTCCCACAGGCTTCCCAGGGATGGGTAAATTTTGATGTACAACAGTGACCCTCTTTGTTCATCACGTGGTTGTTCTAGAACAAATCCAGACACTCCCCTGGCAAAGGACGTACTCCCTGTTGATGCTGGGAGGAGAAGGTGACCCTCTGCTGTAAGGACAGAGTGGGGCAGCACCCAGAAGAGAACTGGTTTGGAACGTGCTGCTCTCAGCCAGGTCAAAGGTCCCCTGAAGGGCAGCGCACCAAACCTGTGTCAAGCAAACTGACCTGAGAACCTGTTATTCCTCATTTTCTGTTGTGTTGTCAAAGCTGAATCAAGAGGAATGGTAGGAAAGTGTGCTGTCTTCAGAACCCAGATGTAATTGAAGAGCAGTGACCTCTCCTCACCCAGGAGAGCAGACGTACCATGGAAATGCAGTACGAGGCAGTGTGGGCTGTTGCTGTGCTTTGTTCCCATTCCCTCAGCAAGGCCAGCCTTCCCTTTACAGGTCCAGCTGCTGCTTTGCAGAGGGAAACACACGTTTTGCTGTTCCTGCCCTGAGCCACAGTCCCAGGGAATGGGACAGACCACCCAGGCTTGACCCCAGCAGCCCCTACCTAACCCTAAGGCTAACCCATTGACTAAAGTAGCTCAGCAAAAGATTCCTGGAAACCAGGAACCATGTGTTTTTCTTTCCATATTGGTAATTCTGGATTTTCACAGCTGGGTGTTGTTAAATAGGACAGAGCCAATGGGAGCATCAACAGCCTTTCCTCTTGTCTGGGCAGAGCCTGCAGGCTAATTTCAGCCCATTTAACCCCAGGTTGTGACTGTAAAACTGGTCCATGGACCTGCCTGTCAGCATCTTCCCATCCTGGCCCTGCTCACACACTCAGCTGGAATGAATCCTTTCACCTTTGGTCTTTACTAGAAAGGATGGAATTTTCCATCCCAGGGACCATTAAACTGAGCCTCCTCAGCTGTCTCCCCAGGGACGAGAACCCTAATGAAACCTTATTTCACAATATTTCCCACACACAGAGGATAATTCCACTGAACCATGAGCATGCAGGGCTACATCAAAAGAGAAATCAGAAGTGTATGTGATACCTCAGACACATGTTTTCTGCAGCATCTCATAAGATCAATAGTCACTTTACAAGCAACATTTCCCTGGAAACATTTTCCCCCACCGTGAACCAGCTTATCCATCCAGCAACAGCCAGAGTCACTGAGGAGCAATACAACACCTCTCCCCCAATTTGCTGCCACGTAGGAGAGTCTGCTGTATTTGTAAAAACAACACGCAGCACTCCCCTGCTCTCTGAATTAATGATGGGTGCGATTGTGTTTCTCTTTACTCACTCAGCAGGAGGAATCCCAGCACTGGAGCCACCTCTGTTCTTCACGCAGGGAAGCACCTCCTCCACAGCCTGGGCATGAGAAAAAATGCAAAGGCTGTACAAACATCATCAGAGCCATTCCTTGGTCCTGTCCTTTTGCACTTGTTCAATTTTCCTCTATATGGGCTGTGAGGCGGCAGCAACATCTCACTCCGTGCTTGTACAGAGACCGGCCCTGAGCAGATCTTCAGGCAGGTGTGAGAGTACAGAGGTAATGCAGGTGATAGATGATAACCCGCTTTTGTTGTGGGTGTTTTCTAGTCTCATTGCTTAGTCTAAAATGTGTGTCTTCAGTGAAAACTCAGCTTAGCATGATAATCTTAGCTTCTTAAGAAATTGGCTCAATTTTAGCACTATTATTTTATGAAAATGAGAGTACGATCTCGCCTCTTCCAGTAAATTATACCACTTTCTAGTTGAGGTTTCAAACCAATTCAGTGAACACCCTGAAAGCCCTTGTGTAGACAAGTATGGTAACTTAAATGGGGTATTAAATAGCATCTTTAGCTAAATCAATGCAAGTTTTAACAGTAGCGTAAGAAAAATAAACACATGGTCCTCCTGACCATTTAGACACTCCCTAAATTACTTTCCCAGCCCAAGTTTGGGAGCAAAGTGCTCCAGGCTCTCAGCTCAGCCATCTCCAAGAAAGACCAGACGCCTGCGATTAACTGCAGGTTCCGCACTGGGGTGCATCGGGGCTGGTGCTGCCCTTTCCCCTCTCAGACCCTGCTCCATAGGCTCAACTCACCTCTGCCCACTCTCCGACTCAGGGTTTCTGTTTGAGCATGCACACCATAGGGACAGCACCTGAAAACAACCATTCCCCCTTTCCCATCCCACCCTCCTTCACCTTCCACCTTCCACGACAACATATTTCTTCTCCCTCCCTCTGACAGGGATTTCAATGGCATTTCCCTTCCTGCTGCCAAACGGATGCTCGGGTGCACGGAGACAGTAAAACATCGCTCTGATGTCCCTTGCTGATGCAAAGTCTCCTCCCATTATTGGTACAGCAGCATCAGGTTATACGCTGTTAATAGCCTTTCCACTTGTTTATAGCTTCGCTGGCATCATTCCTGGATTTAGCACTGCTGTTTTACTTCCCCTCGCTGCTTTGGGGACGACCTCCCCTCAAGCAGCAGGACTCAGTGTCGTGTGTGCGATGTGTAATTCAACACGCGGGAACTGGTGGGGGGCATCACCAGCAACCAGCACATCAAAAACACATTACAGCAAAGCCAGCGAACCTCATCCTGGATGGGGTGGGGGCTTGGGAAGAAAGGGATTTTTTTTTTTTTTTTTTTTTTTTGTGAAGTGAGTGAATAATTCATAGACAAACCATTGACATGATAAATTCCTCCATTTCTCCTCTTTTGTGAATTGACAGCGAACAACTTTCCAATTCCTCCCCTCTGCATTTTCATTATCCAGAATTATTCGCTAAACAATTGCTTGGAATAATTCTGGGGAGCAAATTCTCTGCTGGGGATGTCAGCACTGACGTCAGGGGAATTAGTGCCAGCAGGAGCTTTGGTTCAGAGGCGACGGGCCGTCCACAAGCCTTTCATCCCCAGGATTTGGTCTCTAGATTTTGAGCCATGCTGATTAGCTGTGGCAGAGCAGGGAGGCTGGATGGTCCCGTTTTCTCTTCCATTAGACGAGCAGAGTTCTGCAAATCAGGTTTTCCACCGTGAATACTTATGTTTACAAATTAATGGAGGTTGAAATTGCCGAGATGCAATGATATATCGCATTGGCGCTTCCAGCAGCACTTCTGCCAGCAGGTTTCATCTCCAGCCCTGCAGGACCAAGGGGAACAAAGTGGGATTTCTACATTTCCATTTCAACTGCTGCAAATGAGCCCTGCCCTTTCCAGGAACACTCCGCACAGTGCCATACAGGCTCTCTGAACCCACCGCCAGGCTCCACCAGAGCAGCTCACTGCCTTTGATATTCATGGGAAGTGAAAGAAAACAACTGAAGGTTTGCTTTCTCATTTCATGGGAAATTTTGGAAGTGGCTTTTGCTCGGTTCTGCACTTCATTTATTCATTTACAAACTGACCCAACCCCCAAATGAACAACCGAATGTCTTCAGTATACCACAATTCTGACTCAGAAAGTCCTTGATATTTATCTGCCTGCGGTTTCCAATAAGTTAAAGCCAGCTGACCTAAAATACCAAATTCTGAGGGTGCACTCTGGCTGATGACTCCCGGTATCTGACAGCAATTGTCTGGGGTGTATTTTCTGTATTTATTTATTGTAAATGAGACATCTGACACCAAGAGATCATAAGAAATTTCCAGCTCTCTCCAAATCACCAGTAAGGTTCCTGTTCCAAGACTCATATCATCATCAATTCTGCTGCAAAACTTTCTGTGCTGATTGTCGGTAATTTGCAACACATAACTTGAGGGAGAGAATTGCTTGCAGTTCTCCCCTTCATCTTCTCAGGAAAATCAGCCTGTGTTGAGCAGGCCAACCAGACTGTCATGACCATAAAAAAACCTACAAATCTGGGTACCTGACTTTCTGTTCTTTGAAATGTTTTAGGTCAGTGGCAAAATGTAAATGTCATATCCCTATTTCCAATCCTACCCTGGGGAGGATATGAACATTTTTGGTCATTTCTCTGATTCAGCATCCACTTTCCCGGCATCATGTCCCTGCATTTGGATTTAGGTTAATTCCTGTCACCAGCCCTAGACCTGTTTACAGAGTTGACAAAATAATTTCCCAACAAGTGACAATGTTTCACAAACACAGACCTGATTTCTGAAAAAAACTGGTATCTTCCCTTGCTGCTAAAACCCTCTAGTTAAAAGTTCTCTCACCACAGAGAGGCGAATTTCACACCGAGGAAACACAATTGCAGAGCAGCAAGCTTTACTTCTGCAGTGCCTCAGATAATTGCCAAGCGAGCTGGAAAGAGCTTCCTGTACAGCCGAGATCTTCAGACGTTTTTCTCTTTAAATCCCTCCTCCAGTGCGTCGCTTCCACCCACTCCACCGCCTTGCAGCAGGTCTGTGTGAGCGTTGCTAGCAATTAGTAACCTGTTCCCCTTAGATGCAAGAGTTCCTCGTACGCTTCCATACCAGGAGAAAACACCCCACAAGGGATGCTGTGCCTCCAGCCCCGGCAGCGGTGCTGCGGATGCAGGCAGACCCCGCAGCCAACATAGAAATCTGATCATCCCATACTTTATAAAAGGATCAGGACACATCGGTGTTTGTAGTTTCAATCTCACTCTCTTTAAGAGATGTGTCCCTGTCCTTCCGAATGACTCATTCCTGGTAGGGAGCAGCTCTTCCTGCCCACCACCCTCCCATCCTGGCGTCTTGGAAAAATCCCAACTCAGGTTCAAGTCCCCCAGCCATGCCGTTGACCATCAAACACCATCTACCCCTTTATGCTTAAGAAAAACAAATAAAAACCTCAAGGACAGAAAGAGAAAGAAATGAAACCCAAGCCGCCATAGTTAGTCCCAGACGGCACAGCTGTGCTCTGCTCTCATCAGCACATGCTACCCCCAGGTGCCTGGAGCGCAGCAGAGTTGGGACATCATCTGGGATCAGACTGCTGCCTGGAAAAATGCACTTGGCTGACGCAAAGGTGATTACCCCTTAGCTGGGTTGGTTGGTTTGTTTTTGTGGGGGGTTGTGGTGTTGGGATTTTTTTCAATAAAAATAATGGATAGGACCTGATGTCTCAGTTTCCCCATTTGGGCAAGTGATGTGATGGCTGAGGGTGAGAAGCTTAGGGACTGACAGGAAAGTTTAGTCACAAAGAGATAAAGCCCATGTTTTTTGACATGTATACCCTGCTGGCACTGAGGATGGGTAAAGCCCTGTCAGACCATCAGGACCCACACTGCGCTGCTCTGTGGGCTCACCAGGGCTAGAGCCGGAAAGAGAAGCCACCACCATCACCGGCAGGGTGCTGTGGGCCTGTCAGACACACAGGTCTCCTTAACCCGGCCACAGTGCCGATGTCGCCACGCTGCTGCCGAAAGCCAGTCTCTCAACACGAGGCTGCAGCCCAGGATGCAGACAGACCGTAAATCGATGCTCACAGTGACACTGGGAGCCGAACCCAGAGCAGCCCCCAGGCACGCAGCTCCCCACTTGTTCCCCGACCTCTGTTCATCCAGCGCCAGCAACATCTACATGCAACATCCCCACCAGAGCCCTAGGTCTGATGTGTGCAACGATACAGCCCTTTTGCCATGGGAAAGCAGGAAAAACACATCTCTCACCCTCTTCGATGGGCCTCAGAGGATGAATCTTCCCAGCTCAGGGCAGGAGATACTCTTGTGCTTCCTGGCCTCACTCGATGTGTTTGCAAATCCTCCTGCCAGCTAGCTCTAGGCATCCTGCAGCAGGAAAAGATGGTGTCCATCAATATTCAAGGCACACAGATGCAGGGAGAGAGGAGACAGGTAGGGAGAGCCTCTGCCACAGCCAGATGAATGGATCTTGCTCAGAGGCAGCGCGGGAGGGTGGTTGTTTGCAGGGTCTGTGTTCTGCCGCAGGCGTTAACCAAACTCTGCTCTCACAGTCCTCCCATCCCTGCCCACAACCACCCTGCCCGGGCATCGTGTCCCAGCCCAGGCCCGCGGATCCTGACCAGGGGCCCTGGAGCCATTCCAGGGCTTTGCACACTACAAAGCAGCCCTGGTTCTTTTAATTAGCCGGAAAATGTAAATGAGCACGGCGTGTGCACAGGCCCCTGCTGTAGAGCCCAGGAGAGTGCTGCACGCTTCTGGGGTCACCGTCAGTAGAGGGAAAAGCCATTTGGCACCCAGGCTGCCGGCAGCGGGCTCACAGGCAGGCTCCATGGAGCAGCACGAGCAGTGAGCACTCCCCAGCAAGCCAGACCAGACAGCTCCCTGGGATCGAAATCCCTGGGCCCTGCATGCACCCAGATCGGGGACCGTGGAGGGAACGTTCCCCAGGACCAAGAGCAGGGTCCTGGCACCACCACCATCTCCTTCCCATCCATGCCCATGCGTTACTGGCCACTGATCCCACCACCCAACCCCAACCACCCATCCCTCCTTCCCCCTATGTGCTTTTCCATCCTTTAGCTCCTTTTCAGTCTGTCTCTACATGTTTAAGATTAGAAAGTCAGCATTTGTCTTCTCATCCACTCTGCAGGAGTCCCACTGTCTACCAGGGGATAGAGGAGGATGCAGACAAGCATCCTGTAAGAACAGAACCAAATGAACTCACCCATCCTGTGCCTGGGAAGCACCCACCAGCTCCCACTGCGTGGCAGAGAATGGTGGGGGCAGAGGGGGCTTTATTAGGGGGGACCCAGGGCATCCAGATGCCTATAAGGGTCCTTTCAGAGGCATCAGAGGGTTCTCCTGCTGCTCAAGGAAGCTTTATGCGTTGCTGGGTTTCAGCTTCAGTTTACTCCTCTATTTTGTTGGTGTTAAATAATTAAAAGTGACTGGTGCTGCCCAAGAGCAGAGTGCACCAGAACAGAGCCAGTGACCCACCAAGCACATGAGTCTAATAAATATAGATCCTAATTATTACTGACCCAAAACAAAGTCCCTATCCTCCTTTTACTAGGTGCAATTCATAGTACTCCAAAAGGGCAGGCTGAGCCATAATTTACATTTTATTTACCCAGCAAATACCATCCAGGCACCAGTGCTGGGCACCCCTGAGGCACGGGGCAGAGCAGCACAGTCTGGGCATCACCCCAAGCCCTGGGCTGAAGCAGAGATGGTGGCACAGGCAGTGCCCAGGTGACACGACCAGTCATCACAACATCATTTGATTGAAACTCTATATTGTGTCCTTCAAAGAGGCCAGAACAAGGGAGACCAGACAGGACCTGGATGATTACCTTCCCAGCCCGGACTCCCCCCAACCATCCTCTGAAAGAGAGACCATGAGTCAAACTTTGCTGCTTCCCCCTCTCCACTTTACGATACCCTCGCTCCTCTCAGCTCTAATTAAAAGGAAGGGAAGCGCGTGCTCAAAGCAGGGAGATGTATCCTATGGTGCAGCGGCGCTGAGACACCTCGTCCCTCACGGGCATGGTC